TTCCGTCGAACTCTTGAACTCGCAATGAATCCTTCGTGCTTGACTCCGACACTTTGTTTTGCTTTATGTCTTCGTCGTTATCGTAGTTAATCCTGCACACACAAGCTAAAACTCTACTCCGATCTAGACAATTATTACAACGCGAATTGACATTCTGTTGCCCGGCACGTCATTGGTTGGCGCTTCGTCCGATTCTTCGGTGCATCGTCCTCTCTTGCAGCTTGTTGCCCAATCGGCGGTTGACCTCTGCAACCCCGATATCCTTGGCGTAATTTCGCTCTCCTTGGCCCGATACCCGATGTCCGAAGCCTTCTGTCGTCCAATATCTTGATGTGATCTCCTCCTGCGCAACGTCAATTCCTCCTGCGTTAACTATCTAATCCTGATCGAGTAGACCTGCATCACTCAAAATGTAGTTAAACATAAACATAATTATCAATTGGTTTCATCATCAAAATATGAGATTCAACAAATTAAAGTAGGAAGAATTATGTTGGGTCAGAGAAAAACATGTCAGAAGATTGGATATCGAGTTGAAAGATCGGTCGACGTATCGATAGAAGGCTTCGGGCCATGAGTTCGAGCATCGGACCAAGAAGAGTGGATATTGCACCAAGGAAATTGGAGTTGCGGAGGTCAACTGGCCTTTTGGGCAATAGGCTGCAAGAGAGGACGATGCACCGAGCAATCGGACGAGGCGTCGATGAACCAATGACATGTCGAACAATATCTGATTAGCTTAGTATTAAATGTCTAGATCGAAGTAGGTTTTATGTGTGTAGGATTAACTACGATAGCAAGGCATAAAGCAAAATGAAGTCTCAGTGTTAAGGACGCGATTTCGTTGAGAGTTCGAGAGTTCGTCGGAAGTCTGGACGTTCATCGAAAGTTCTGTCGGAATTAACCGAAAAGTCTAAGAACTTGCCAAATAAGCTCGTCGAAACTTGCTAAGAAGATCGTTGTGAAGTCCAAGAGCTTGCCGGGAGTCCGTTGGAACATTGCCAAGAGATCGTCGGAAGTTCGTAAGAAGAAACATAGACTTACGGACTTATTTAGCTTAGTAATTGTCTTAGATTTAGTAGTTAGCATATAATTAGGATTGGAATTAGGCCAACCCAATTAGGGGCCAGTTGCGCCCATGTATGGACTGTGTTGGGCCCATTGAAAGGCCCAAACAATGACCCAACAAGTGGCACCGTCGTGGCACAATCTTCGAGACTATGTCAGGCGTTGGTATCGCCCAGTGGTAGTCTCAAGAGGTGGTACCGCCAGTCTAGGTAGTGGTAGCGCCCAGACATAGTCTTCTAGGCGGTGGTACCACCAAGACCTGGGAAACCTAGGATGAGACCTTTTTAGGCTTTAAGTTTGAATCAACTTGAAGCCTATAAATACCCATCTCATCCCTGGTTAATATACACAAGTATTGAGAGTGAAAAGGGAAATAAATGATGCTGTAATCCTGTGTGAACTCCTCTCCTTCTTTTAAATGTTAGAATAGTTTGAGAGAGGAGTAAGTGGGGGTGTAAGGGTTATCTCCTAAACCTGGTAAAAGGAGAAAGAGCTGTAAAAGGTGGTTAGTCTTCGCCTTTTAAAGGAAGACTGATAGTGGATGTCGGTGGCCTCGACGGAGGAGGAATCGAAACTGGATGTAGGTCACGATGACCGAACCACTATAAACTCTGTTTGCATTTACTTTGAGCAATTTACTTTTATAGCAAACTGCCTCTCCTCCTTATTATACTTTTATTATGCCTATGCTCGTAGACACTTTCAATTATATAATTTTTAGATCAATTTTATTGCAAGAAGATTTTTATTAAACCGATGTTTTTACCGCTGCACTAATTCACCACCCCCCCCCCCCCTCTTAGTGTCGACTTGTTCCTAACATATATCACCTATGCCAATGATGTTTGCCATGTCATAGTTGCCCATCTTGACAACACTAAAATTTTCAGATCTGTAGGTAGCAAAAAACTCCCTCCGTGGTGTAGCATGATAAGAAGCACCTATGTCAATCACCCACTCAAGAAAAAATATCATTAGAAGGAGACAAAATCAAATAATCATTAGAAGGAGACAAAATCAAATAATCACCACCCTGCACTATAGCTGTAGTATTATCTTTTGACTTTGTAAACTCCACTTCTTTTCCCGTTTTCTTGCTCTTCTTAGATTGCTTGCATTGGTTTTTGTAATGTCCTTTCTCACCATAGTTATAGCAAACAATATCATTTCTTGATCTTGACTTACTTCTACCCATGCGTGAATTGCTTCTATCCTTGGACCTTGACTTTCCTCTGTTCTCTAAGATAAGTGACTGTGAATCATTTTAAGATATTACTGAATTCTTTCTTCTTAACTCCTCATTCAACAAACTATTTGTTACTTAACTCATGGTGACAACACCATTTGGCGTAGAATTAATAAGAGAAACCATCAGTGTCTCCTAACTTTCTAGTAATGAACTGAGAAGTAACAATGCTTGCAACTAATCATCAAGAGACATTTTCATAGAGGATAATTGGTTAGTGATACTCTACATTTAATTCAAATACTCAGCAATAGAAGCACCCTCTTTATATTTCAGGTTTACAAGTTTTATAATCAAGAAATCTTTGTAACCAGCTGTTTTTCTTTCATAGAGACTTTCCAACTTTTTCCAAAGAGAATATGAAGAACTTTCAGTAGAAACATAGTGAAAAACACTGTCATCGAGCCACTATCGAATAAACCCAACTGTTTTTCGATCTAACCTCTTCCAATCATCATTTATCATAGTTGCGGGCTTTGCATTATCCTCTTACTAAAGGTCCATATAATTCTTTGCAATATAAAAGATCTTTCATTCTTGATTTTCATATCATCCAATTATTTCTATTCAAGCTAATCATGCGAGAAACACTCCCAACCTCCATGTTTGAATATAAAATTAAATCATCAAAACCCTGCTCTAATACCAGTTGATGGGATAAAAAAAGAGAAACAAATTTTTATATACGAATAAATACAAATAGGCCGTAACACGCAAAATGAAAATCACAATCAAATATGACACCAAGATTAACATGGAAAACCCCTCCAAAGTGAGGGTAAAAATCACGGGGCAAGCCAAAGAAAATCCACTATAAAATAATGAATGTGCAAATCTTGGAATCTCTTGCACAAAATTCAAGAAATAATCACAAGAGAATAACTAAGATACAAGGATTATATCATTATGCACAATATCCAAAATCTTCCAAGTAACCTGAGATGAGAATACTGCCTGGATGATTGAGAATAGTCTCTGCGTTATTCTTGTCATCTTCTCTTTTCTTTTTCTCTTGTTTTTCTATCATTTTTTCCTCTTTTTGAATAACGTTGCTGCTATAGTTTTCTGCCCCTGTTGCTATAATTTTCTACTTTAATCTCGCAGCCACCACACCCTCCTTATTAGATCTAAGGTTAGACTAAAAAGAGAGGTGGGCTATAGGCTGTTAAAACCCACTATAGGCTAAACTCATGGGTTGTCAGCCCAATAGTCACCTCTTAATCCACTCTAATAATTTATTATGTTAATGTCAATTGGCTGGCACAACAAAAATCGATTGTCGTGAATGGTGTGAGGTCCTCATGTCCAGACAAACACAAATGTTACATCTCACTCGTACATCACCAACCCATCCATGCTTGAGATTCATCAGCGAAATCAGTACGCCATTTACGACTCACTCACACTATTTGGAAGTTGAAATGTTGACGAAGAATCAACATATCAAATCCCCCGACCAAACGCATAGGAGCGACAAAAGGGTTGGATCTCACGTGTCGGGGTATCGGCATGCGCATTTGGGCTGGAGTTGCACGTGGTGGTCACATGGCGTTCCCCCACTAATGTAGCGGAAAGAGGCCAAAGCCGTGCGGTTTGAGCCGTCGTCGCTCGCATCACTTTTATAGATCGTGGATGGACCAAATAACCCCGCAACGTGTCTCCGCCCAAAAGATCGGCGTGGTAAAAATTCTTTTTGACAGTAGGATTTTGTTATTCTTTAAATTTTATATGAAAGAGATATTGAGGAAAAGCATATTAATGTATTGATTTTAGGATTCGATTTTAAATTAACTCAGGATAGTTTATTCTTTTTTATTTTGAGTCTTTATCAAATCAAACAGTGCCCCCTCTTTCTTTTTTTTTTTCTTGAAAACAATGTTGGTTTTAAATTTTAAATTTTTTTATCAGTTTTAATAAGTATTCTTATTGATATATTGATAACACGATAAATGTTATTGAAAAATATTATAAGTGGCGTCTTTGATTAACGTTGCTCGTAAGTTATTACGATATCATATTTTAATTGAGTTTAGAAGTCCATTTGAATCGTTTATAGTATTTTTCAAATAGGGTTTACGGTGTTTTTATTATTATGGTCAGATTACTATAATAAATTAATTTTTTATTCATATTTGGATGATTTTTTAAACTATTATAAATACCAATTTGAATCCTAATATGATATATGAAATAATTTTTAGTGTATTTTGATTTTATTTTACTTATACCTATTTTTATGAGCAATTTGAATATTTTTCGAATAAGGGATCCCCGTTTGAAAAAAATAAAATCAAAAAGGAAATATTATTTTAAAAAAATCCAAACCAAAAATATATTTTAAAAAATCGTTCTTTTACTGTTTATAATATAAATAATTTTAAAAAATTATTATTTTATTATTAGTTGTGATCGGAGTTTTATATTATTTCAAAATGTAAAATGAGCGCATCTACGCATCCTTCAACTCGTCTCTTTGGTTCCACCTCTCTTAATTTTCCACTTTCGTTGGTCTCTTAATTTACACATCCTTCGGCTCGACACACCATGTGCAAGCTTGTTGCAAATGCCAAAGTCACCGAGCATGTGGATGACAGAAATGGCAGCACCGGCACATCAATCAATGGCAACCAGTCATGAGTCGATCAACAGGTGTATTTTCGAGGATTATTCCCACAGACTGCAAGCATGACAGAAACAATGGCAGCAATGAACATTAGGCGAAGAAGCGAAGACAGAGAGCCATGATGCTTTGCCACAACTACTACCACATGGGAAATAGCTGGAGCTGCCCTGCCTCCTGTCACGCATTTGAACAAACACAAAACATACATCACCGAAAAGAAGAAGAAACAACAGTTGTTCTACTGCAAGTCCACTCACAGGCTCCCTGGCTCTTCGTTAACCTCCCATCCCCTCCCCTCCCCTCCTCTTCTGTCACGAGGTATTGTCGCCCACCCAAAGAGATCTGAGGCCTGGATGTCTGGTGTCTCATGGAACACGTTTGGAGAGGTCTTTGCCGGATCTGTTGTATTTCATGTGACTCTTCACGAGCTGGCCCGCAGCGAGAGCCGACATCAGGGACAGCTCCCCAGCTAGGACAGCACCGGCTACGATGGTGGCCAGAAGCCTTGCATTGGCCCCGGGCGATTCCATGCTCGCACCTTTCACGCCAAGCAGGTCCAGACAGGCTGCCTGAGAGGCCAGCTGAGTCCCGCCACCCACCGTGCCCACCTGTAATGTTGGCACAAGAAAACAACAGCTCAAGTATTGTTTGATTTCCCTATGTTTGGTCACAAAAGCTCCATTTGGCTAGAATAGTGAGGAAGGCTGCCGCAAGCATGAGTAGAACAGACCAAATAAATACTACCTTTATATACACGTAGTAATACATATATCATGTAGAACAAGTTATAGACAGTCGCTCATACTATGCTATCAGTACAACTACATGTGACCCCCTTTGTTTCTATCTACGAATGCAAATATATATACATGTGCATTATATTTTAGGGTAGAGCACACTTGTGATACGGAACCAATCGTATAAAACTCGGACCACGGAGGCAAAGACGAAGATGCCCGTACTAAAAGCACAATAGGGATGAACAATAATAAATCAATTCAATTCAATCAATCAGTATTGTGGTCACCAAGAAGATGCCTGGAGTAAATATAATGAAACATGGATAGCACCAACTAAATGACCTACGAAAAATTAAGTGCAAAAACATCTCATTATAAACCTCAAAAGCAAGTATATGCACCACAACCTCTTAGGCACATGATAAACTAGAAATAGACAACGAGATGTTCAATGTATGGATCAAGATCAGCAATAAATACACAGCAAAAATAATCATAAAATGATCAAATGGAAAGAAGATATGAGAATTACCTCGATGGATGGCATAGTAACAGAGACATGGAGATCCTTTCCATCATTTGTTGCTTCCATCATGGTGATGCAGTGGGAGCTCTCCACATTCTGAGCAGGATCTTGGCCCGTGGCAATGAAGACTGCGGAGACAATGTTGCTGGCATGAGCATTGAATCCTCCGAGAGCTCCAGCAACTGCAGATCCGACAAGATTCTTAATCATGTTGAGTTCTACCAATGCCGGTACATTCGTCTTGAGAACCTTCTTGACCACCTCCTCCTTTATGATCGCCTCACAAACCACAGATTTGCCTCGTCCTTCAATCCAATTCACAGCAGCTGGCTTCTTGTCGGCACAGAAATTACCTAAACATGCCGAAAAGAAAGATAAATGCTTATCGGATATAAACCCTATCCGTGCTAATTACAAAAGGCAAAATTTGGTTGATTCAATTCAAAACATCTGAATGATGAGTTGGAATCCCCCAAATCTCAAGGTCAACATGGACAGGTCACTCAATGATTCCAACAGCTGCTGTCTTGCATCCCCACATGGATACACCACCAGATCAACTAGAGCAAAGATCACTTTCGGCACATGGCAGACTCATCGAAGAAGGTAACCATGGATGCACAAGCAAATAATCGAATGAGAAAGTTTCAAGGTAGGATCGATAAAAGAAACCCTGGTGATCACCAAGCTTTTCTTCAAACATGTAATGGACAAAACTGGAAGCGTCTACGGGTGTCGTATTCTAAGTGAAACATGCTAATATACTGAGATGAGACTGAAAGATAAGATGGTCCGGACGGGAGGACGACGCTCACCAGAGATACTGATCACGTCCATGTCTGGGAAGTCACTCTGCAGATAGTCCAAGACGTTCTGGACACCCTTGGAGACCATGTTCATCCCCATGGCATCTCCTGTGCTGCAACTGAATCTCATGTAGAGATTCCTCCCGGCCAGTGCACAATGGACATCCTGGAGCCTGGCAAACCTGCTCGATCTGTGGAAATTTGTGGAAAAATAGTAAGGATGAGGAATAAAGTGGAACATTTCTTTCAGTATCAGAATAACATGGATTAAAACTGCTATCATTGAAAGGTAGGGAGGTGTAGACGATGGTTTTTCCAGTTCCCGTGACCAAGAAACACGATAATAAGGTTTGCGTTGGGTTAAAGGGGCAAAAGAAGGAGTACTTGTTGAACATCAGGGAGATGGTCTCGAAGTTGTTGGGTTCCTCCATATAGGCCTTGAGCTCCGCTGCACGCCTCGCCGACGGCAACCTCAGGGCAGGCGCTCTGGTCATGCCGTCCCTAAGCACCACGCTGGAGGCCCCTCCGGACTCCATGATGGCCTTGCAGCCCCTGTTGGTGCTCGCCACCAGGCAACCCTCGGTGGTCGCCATGGGCACGTAGTACTGCCTTCCATCGAGAAGCAGCGGCCCCGCGATCCCCACCGGCAGCTGCACGTACCCTACCGGCAGCTCGCAGCACTGCCCGAGAATGGAGGCGTAGTCGAAGCCGTCCAACGGCAGTCCCTCCATGGCCCTCCCCGTGGTCCGCCTCAGCGCCTCCCGCCGGATCCCGGCGGCTCTCCGGCAGTCTCCCAGCTTCGACTCCAGGACGTAGGAGGGGGTCTTTCCGGCGACGACGGAGGCGATGATCTCCTCGTCGTCGGCGGTGACCTCGGGCAGCTTCTCGGCGGAATCGGTGGAGCCGAGAAGGGAGCAGAGCTTGGGGGCGGGAGCCGAAGCCGGGGTGGGAGCGGGGGCGGCGGGGGAGAGGATGAAGTCGTCCTCCTCGTCGTTGGAGGAGACAATGGATTGGACGAAGGCGATGCCGAAGAAGCTGATGAGGTAAATGAGGGAGGCGACCAGGCCGACGATGGCAGTTATCTCGGCGAGGTCGACGACGTGGAGAGGGGAGGAGAGGCGGACCTTCTCTCGCCACCGCCGCATGAGGAAGACGAGGGAGGCAGCGAAAAGTGCGGAGAAGAGGAGGTTGGTGTGGCGGATCGGGAGGGGGAGGGCATCCGATGCCTGCACCTGGTTCGTGGGCGCCGGTTTAGCGTGCCGACGAGCCCGGGCGGCGGCGGCGGAGCTCGGAGGCAGCCTTCGGCGGACGTCCATCTCGATGGCAGAGACGGTGGTGGTGGTGGTGGAGGAGGAGGAGGAGGAGGAGGAGGGAGCTCCGATGGGGAACTGTGTGAGCAGCGAAAGTTTTGGAAGCAGGAAGGAGGTGTGGGTTTATTTATAGCGATCAGACGGTCACAAATTTCCCCAAATCCACGTTCTTCGACGACCATCGGATTCGCTCCTCATATAAATTAATAATTAGATTGGGACATTTGGATCGGTACGTTCGGATAGAAAGCGAAATCGAAATCAAGATCGAAGTCTAGTAGACCAGATTGAACTCCACCCAGATCACCCAATTCCGAACTGGATTGGGCTCGTAATCAATGAGACGACTCCGACGTGACGGATAGAAAGGATATACCCCAAACATACCTAATCAGATAGAGCAAATCGAAGGCGGAAAAGAATGGTAATGAATGATGCAGGGGAGACATCTCACTTCGACTCTCGATTAGCTGCCAATATTTGCTGTTATCTCATATCTTAAATGCATGCACTACGTGTTTGTCAACCGATGCATGCACTGTGTTTATTAGTCCATCACGTTTCGGCATAAATGCTTGATGTATCCGTCACCGTTGGGTAGCGTATCTCAAGGAAGATATCCTCCTCGACGCAAGGAAACGAGTGATTGGAACTGGTCGGCATCCAAGTCGAAAGTGTCGTTCGATCCCTGTCCGCCTCTCCATTACGTGAACGTGATGGGCAACAATTATGGCGCCATGCTGAGCGTAGTCATCTCCCCATCGACGACTTTGAAGCTGTAGCCGTCAAAATGATGAATACCTTCAAATCAAAATTAAAACAAAAAAAAAACAAAAGAAATCTCAAACAAATCCAATAGAAAATACTCTTTATGCAAGTCTCTAGATTCTTTGGACAATTCAACTTGCCAAGGATGATCCATGTGTAGTATAACATATGATATATTTTTTAACTGCACGAGGAAAAATATATATATATAATGTATACATGATATTTATCTAATTTAGTAAAATAGAGACTCTGATACCATGATAAAATAAAGTATAGAAGCAAAACACACATCAATTAGTTTGATACAATATTTATTTATATATTAAAAAATATATTATTTTTAACTGAGTAAAGAGATTTTCTTGTATAATTAAAAAAATCTCATATGTTCCACTATTATCTTAATTCCCGAGGAAAACTATTATATTAATTTAGGTATAGTTATTTTATTCAACACTTTCTAAATAAATGCAGGCCCCAGGTTTGAATATTCAATTATAATTATAATATTAGTTTAAGAGTTTTAATTAAGATATTAAGTGCTAAGAGTTATTATTTTAGTTAAAGTCAAGATCTTGGATCACTTTACAAATAAGGGACTAAAGTAATGCATTAGATCCGAAAAAAGAGAGAAGAGGTGAGATGCAACAATCAACAGAGACTAAGAGCCAACTTAGAGATTGAGTTTATTAATAATAAAAGTTTTTAGTTTTCTAGTGTGATCTATTGATGACCATTAATTTTTTTGAGACATTTAGGAGGATAAAATTTGATTTGAATGAGTTAAAAAAAAAAAAAAAAATCATATTGAAGCAAGGTGATTGAATTGAAAATATGACCATTTGGCCTCTCTCTCTCTATGGATGCAGAATTCATGTGAAGCACACACACATCCTGTCCATAGGAAACATGGAGATGATTCCAGTACGATCTGATGGCCGAATCCTTACGAGTTCTATAAACTATATCGAGTTCTAGTGAGACAAGAATCTGCGAACCACTACAGTTCCATATCGAATTCCAAGATGTCAGTAGCTAGCAGTGTCCATGTGACTCACATCTTGATCCTTGGACGCAAGAAATGGTTCCAATATGACTTGAATGACGAGCGATAGCGTGGAACATTTTTGTACATCTCAAACTCCAAGATCTCAGTAGGTAGGTAGAAATGTTCATGTGAATCACATTTTTTTGTCATCATATGCAAAAATGACAACGCTTATTTAAATTTAAGCTTTCTTTGCCTCTTGTGTCGAGAAAAGATGTATAGTTTAATCTCACATCCCGAGAACTCTCTCTCTCTCTCTCTCTCTCTCTCTATATATATATATATATATATATATATATATATATATGCACGAAGAAGAAAGGAATTAATTGCCTATGTGCGACAGGAAACAAGCATCTCTTTGCAATAGTCGGATTAGCATGGGCGTGAGAGAATCCAATTAAAGCTTTAGTCATATTATTAATTCGAATGGTCATGAAGTAGTTAGTATCGTGTTGAATTATGATCTCTCATGCATGCTTTTATACATGTTATATTTGGGACCAAACGAAGCAGACGATTGATGTATTTGTCTTGGGTCTTTCCTGCCACGAGAACAACTTTATCACGGCTTGAAGAGCATGGGTTGAAGCCGTCGGTGTAGGAATGGATAAACTAGGACCGTGGTTTTAGAACCTCAAAACAAGAGCTGGAGCTTGTAGCTCTATGTTTTCTCCTACTAGTAAGTAGCATCCTGGGGAAAGATCGACTCTGCTTGCTGCAGAAAACGCCACCGCCCTTGAATACCTACGTGGATTGTTAGGATGATCTTTTTCCATCGAACTATAAAAACACCTTTGTATGTGTAATACTAAAAAACTAAACTTTTATGTGAATATTGAAAACAAATAATATTATATCAAATTTATTATATATATCTTTCAATGTCATATAAAAAAAATCTCTATATGATTTACAATGGCACCGTCCTATATCTAAAAATCACAGTTAATATGTAAGGAGAATTAGACACTCATTTTCTCTTTCTATTTTATCATAAGACCACTTAGATTAATGGATTAGGAAGATTGAGAGAGAAATTATAATCCCTAAATCGCGTCCTATATGATATACATTATTTAGTCCTTAGAGGTCCTGTCTATTTATAGACGAGAGCAAAGGGTCTAAAATAAATTATTAGAAGAGTTTCTCCCATCAAGGATATACCCTTAAGGAATCTTGCTATAATATAAATTTTCTTTCTATTGACCAATATTTATCATTAGAATTTAATTAGTTCTATTATATATCTTATCCAATTATAAAGGGTCATATAGTTTAATATTGTCTAACATTCTCTATCTATTAATTGATAAAATATAAAAATATTTAAAATCAAAATAAATAAAATAAAATTTGTTTGAAAATAATTTTACCTAATTATATTTTAAAAAAATTGAAAAATATTTTATATATGATCATGAATTTTAAAAATAAGTTAATAAGTCGAATAAGCATAATAATACTCTATTTAGTTCAACTATTAATACGAGTCATAACGATTGTATGTCATCAATTTCACATTTATTTCTATGTACCACAATATTATTAGTCTTTCCTTATATAGTTCATAATGACTCGTATAATTTGTCTTATCAAGATAATTTGATTATTGCATTCAACCATAATATACATAAACATAAATATAAATAGGATAATAGAAATAAATAATTTTAATTATGTAAAAAAATCAATAATCGCATCTACCTAAACATGTATTACTATATTTTTTATGGCTTATTCACAAGTCTCATTCTAATAACATGTTCTTTAAATCTTTTATAATGTAAAGCTTTGGTAAATGGATTAACAATCATCATAATGGTGCTTAGGTTCTCAATCGATACTTGTTATTTTTGGACTCTTTCTCTAACCACCAAGCACTTTATCTTAATATGCTTCGAAACACTATAGTACTTGTCATTCTTAGAGAAGAAAACTGCTTGGTATTATCACAAAATATCTTTAGCGGCTTGGCAATTGAGTCGACTATACCAAGTCCTGAGATAAAATTTTATAGCCATAAGGCTTGATTTATGATCTCAAAGCATGTCATAAATTCAGCTTCTATTGTTAATGATATAATAAGTGATTGCTTTACACTGTTTTCAAAAAATTACCCCACTAGCTAACATGAATACAAATCTTGAAATGGACTTCCTACTGTCAAGGCAATTTATAAAATCAGTATCTGAATATCTTATCACTTTAAGCTGATATAATCTTCTCTATGTGAGAATATAATCTCTCATCCCCTACAGATATTTCATTTCTTTCTTTGCAGCTTTCCAATGTTCTATTCTACAATTACAAAACTAATATATGATCTTGTATAGGTTTGAGCATATAATAGACTTCTAACTATACACCCATAAGGAATATTCTATATTTGATTCCTTTCTAAGTCATTTTCGGGTACCGGTTTTAGTTGAATTTTTTACCTCTGGTAATAAGTGTTAAATCTCATATTTTGATGATGAAACCATTTGATAGTATTTATAATTTGATCTACGTTTTGAGTGATGCAAGATGCTTTGATCAACGAGAGATAATTAAAGCAGAAAGAATCATGTTGGGCCGGAGGAAAACATGTCAGAAGATTGGACGTCGGGCTGGAGGATCGGTTAATATATCGGTAGAAGGTTTCGGGTTGCGAATTCGGGCATCGGGCCAAGAAAAATGGATATTGCACCAAGGATATCGGAGTTGCAGAGGTCAACTAGCCGATTGGGCAATAGGCCACAAGAGAGGACGATACGCCGAAGAATCGGACGAAGCGTCAATGGACCAATGACATGCCAAATAATATGATTCATGCTTAGTAATAATTATCTAGATCGAAGTATGTTTTTATGTGTGTAGGATTAACTACGATAGCAAGACATAAAGCAAAATGAAGTTCCGGAGTCGGCCAGTTGAACGCGATTTCGTTAGGAGTTCGAGAGTTCATCGGAAGTCGGGACATTCATCGAAAGTTATGCCGGAATTGACTGAGAAGTCCTGGAGCTTGCCAAAGAAGCTCATCGGAACTCATCAAGAAGATCATCATGAAGTGTAGGAGCTTGCTAGGAGTCCACCGGAACATTGCCAAGAGATCGTCGGAAGTTCGCCAGAAGCTCGCCGAAAGAAGCCAAACTTATTTTGCTTAGAATATGTCTTAGGAATCGTAGTTAGCACATAATTAGAGTTGGGATTGGAAGGTAATCCCATCAACTCTATTAGGAGCCAACTGGGCTCGAAGTTAAGTTAGTTTGGATCGGATTCAAGGCCCAACCAAGATGCTGAAGGCT